GTCCCGAGATCGCCCCTCGTTGCCCCGCATGTAGCAGCTAACGGTGGTGGCAGGTAGGGGCTGGAATCAGTACGTCGGCGGGCATTCCCGATTTTCGCTCCCCAGACACAGGCCTTTACTCCAATCTAGCCTTTCTGGATCTGCCAGAGCCGGAAGATGTGTTCGATATCAGTTACTTTCGAGAGAACCCTCGACCGTTCTACGCCTTGGCGCGTGAGTTGGCGCCTGGCCGGTATCGACCAACTATTGCGCATTCGTTTGTCAAGTTACTGCACGATAAGGGATTGCTGTTGAAGCACTTTACACAGAATATTGATTGCTTGGAGCGCCTGGCGGGAGTACCAGAGGAGAAAATCGTTGAGGCCCATGGTAGCTTCGCGTCACAACACTGTATTGACTGCAAAGCCGTGTACCCCGAATCTCAAATGAAAGAGGCTATTGCCAAAGGGGAGGTGCCTCATTGTCCTCATTGCAAGGGCTTTGTGAAGCCGGACATCGTCTTCTTCGGAGAAGCGCTGCCCGAGGAATTCCACTCGAACCGAAGTCTCCCAGAACAAGCAGATTTATGTATTGTTATGGGAACGAGTCTCTCTGTACAGCCATTTGCTAGTTTACCGGCATTCTGTCGTGACGAGGTTCCGCGAGTGCTGATCAATATGGAACGTGTGGGAAGTATAGGGTCTCGTCCCAACGATGTTCTTCTTCTGGGCGATTGTGATGCTGGTGTGCGAAAGTTCGCACGAGCGCTCGGTTGGGAACAGGAACTTGAGGAACTGTGGGAGAGAACGAATCCTGATAAAGCGACACGAGACGCCGAGAATGCACCTTTATGGACGAGAGACGAACGACTACACGATGAGGTGGAGCGTATGACAGAAGAAGTTGATCGAGCACTGGGATTTTCTGGGGCGTACCAAGAAAAAGTGCGACAGCAATTGGATCGCCATTCTCAGAAGGAAGCAGGCATCAGACAAGGGACGGCAGCAGCCCACCGTGCCCACGCCTTGTCGAGTATACAGCCCCTGGGCCAGTCGTCCGGGATCCCGCGCGATGAGGAGATGGACGGAGGTCTTGTCCAGGATGCGCTTGTCACAGGAGAAGCGAAAGCAAGGGAGCTACAACCAACAGCTGTGCATGACAGCGAGGGGGGTTTGGGGCATGTATTCCCTTTTCTCGCTAGTCAAAGGAAGAAGTCAAATGCCATATGAGCCATGTGAGTCCTTTAGTGTGACCACTGCATCCACTATTTAATGATGGCGCTGATGTGGCTTTCGGCGGATCACGGATGGTTGATTCTTTTGCATCCTGAACTTTCTCACATGGATGAGAATATAACGAGAATATGAATGAAATCTATAAGTGAGAGATAGATGAATCATGGTATGCAAATAATCAAATAATGGATTAATGAAGATGGCTTTGGTCATGAAAAGACGACAGAAGTAGACTAAATCATCTAGATAGAGAGGTATAGCAACCATAATAAGCAATGTTCTAGAAGTGATCAGTTCTGCTTACGAATTATTGACTATTAATTATTATCGAGGCGCCAACAGCGGAATTGACGCATCACATCGAGTCTCACCGGCTTTGGGGGACGATTCTCAATCCTTTGTTATTATTTAGATAATCCTTGGGGAAGCATTCAGGTTGTCATCGGATCCTGCAAAAGGTGGGGAGAGACTCGGTATGAACCCCAACCCCTAGAGCAGAAACTGTGTATCTAGAGAGACACCGATAGAGTATCAATAAAGTAATGTCAAAAAAAAAAAAATTGGATCCTCACTAGAAATCAACAGCAGCTGAAAGAGACCAACCGGTGAGGGAATCGGATGATCAACGGCCACTGATTTCATCGTTCTGCGGGGCCTACTTCTGTGGCTCTGGGAGTCCTGATTCTCTTGGACCTTCTCCGGTCGCTGCCCCACGGTGTCTCTAGATACCTCATAGTCCGTAGTTCTTGTTATCAATATCCTCCCCCACCCCCCAACTCTCTCCCAACTCATCGTTGTCTTTCTCTCTCTTCTCCTCATTATTATTTCTTTCCATACATCTCTTTCATTGTTCATATCTATCGTTTCTTTCTTATACACACTCTAATTACACAATGGTCGGAATTGGTCCCAAGCGCCCCCCATCCCGCAAGGGTAGGTCAAACTGATCGAAGCTACAAAACATTTGGCAGGATGGCTCATTCGAAGCGCAATTGGAACAGGATCGATGGCCGATGTGCCTCAGAATCTCTTACAGCAGATTAAGGATTTTGAGGACATGTTTACTGTGGGCGCCGCCAAGCTCAAGCAGGTGGTTGACCACTTCGTCAAGGAGCTCGAGAAGGGTAAGCCGTCACTCTTATCTATTTTCGATAGCTCCAGTAGCCATCAGGGAAATTTAATGAAGCTAACCTGCGGTTTCTGATCAGGTCTCAGCGTGGAGGGTGGTAACATCGTGAGCTTGACCGCATCCGTTCTGAGAGGCTTGTACGCTGACCACTAGGACTATTCAACAGCCAATGAACGTTACCTGGGTTATGGGCTTCCCCGATGGAGACGAACAAGGAACCTTCCTTGCCTTGGATATGGGTGGAACCAACCTTCGCGTCTGCGAGATTACCTTGACGGAAGAGAAGGGAGGCTTCGATATCTGCCAGGCCAAGTACCGCATGCCGGAAGAACTGAAGACCGGAACCGCTGAGGAGCTGTGGGAATACATCGCCGACTGCATACAGCAATTCATCGAGTTTCACCACGGAGAGCAGGGATTGACATCATTGCCACTGGGTTTCACCTTCTCCTACCCGGCTACACAAGAGTACATTGATCATGGTGTTCTTCAGCGTTGGACTAAGGGTTTCGACATTGATGGTGTCGAGGGCCAGGATGTCGTCCCTCCGCTGGAGGAGACACTGAAGAGAAAGGTATTCCCTCTCTTGCTTGTCGTTGCCAATCTACAGACACCTAACGTGTGTACTTTACAGGGACTTCCTATCAAGGTCGCTGCTTTGATCAACGATACCACTGGAACACTTATCGCCTCGGCCTACACTGATCCCGAGATGAAGATTGGGTGTATCTTTGGTACAGGTGTCAATGCGGCCTACATGGAGGATGTTGGCTCCGTTCCTAAGCTGGCTCACATGAACCTGCCCCCCGACATGCCAGTGGCCATCAATTGCGAGTACGGCGCTTTCGACAACGAACACGTTGTTCTTCCTCTCACAAAGTACGATCACATCATTGACCGCGACTCTCCCCGCCCCGGTCAGCAGGCCTTCGAGAAGATGACAGCCGGTCTCTACCTGGGAGAGATCTTCCGTCTAGCCCTGATTGATCTCCTGGACAGCAGACCAGGACTGATCTTCCAGAATCAGGACACCAGCAAGCTGCGGAAGCCGTATCTGTTGGACGCTTCCTTCCTGGCTGCCATCGAGGAGGACCCATACGAGAACTTGCAGGAGACACAGGAGCTGTTCGAGCGCGAATTGAACATCAAGCCAACTTTGGCCGAGCTCGAGATGATTCGTCGTCTGGCCGAGTTGATCGGTACGCGTGCCGCTCGTCTGTCGGCTTGTGGTGTCGCCGCTATCTGCAAAAAGAAGAACATCAAGAGCTGCCACGTTGGCGCGGACGGGTCCGTCTTCACTAAGTACCCTCACTTCAAGGCTCGTGGTGCCCAGGCTCTGCGCGAAATCCTGGACTGGGCGCCGAACGAGAAGGACAAGGTCACCATTATGGCGGCCGAGGATGGTTCCGGTGTCGGTGCCGCGCTGATCGCCGCCTTGACCCTCAAGCGTGTCAAGGCCGGCAACTTGGCTGGTATCCGGAACAAGGACGAAATGCAGAAACTGCTTTAAATGTTGATATCTGATATTTGGAAGGAATTTTTATTGGCTGTTGACGAATTTTGTTTTGGATACGGTGTTTTGGTATGGCAAGTGGAAGCGGCCCTGGGTTTGACGAAAAATATCCATGAACGCTATACAAGTCTATGAATCTTTCGGTGTCATGGAGGATGCACAAGGTCTTTCTTGACTTACAGACCCCATAGAACGACCCGATTGGAGTGCAAGTGTCTGTACATACAAGCAACATACAGGCTCAATGAATGATATTACGCTACCAACACAATCCTTGCAAATGCGCTGGAAGGCTAACATAGTTATATCGACAGCCAACTGACGGAGGTGAACTTGCCAGGGAACGGCCTCGCTCGCTGTTGTCTCTCTTCTGAGTGACCAATATCAGCGCATCAATCATTCTAGAATATCCGCGTTAGCGGACAAGTGACATGAAAAATCTGAGCCCTCGTCAAGCCTTGGGATCTAGATGCCCAATCAAGACAAGGTGAGCTGTTCAATAGCTACTTGTGCTTGCAGACATGTTCAGGTTCTCCCAAGGAACCCAGCATTCCGAGGGCAGGACAGGAATGTTCGAATACCCCAAAACAGACTGGTCTCGATAACAGATGAATTTGACGACGGACCAACGAATTCTTCGTCACCATCCACGACGTTTGATTGACGGGAGCTCATGGGGAATAGCCGTCCTGCCGTTTCTATTGCATATTCGAAAGTCAACCCGATACCCGGTTGACCTGACGAATGCGCCTCCGCAAGGAGCACGGTGTTCGAAATAATTAATCAACATCCCGTTATAAAATGCCAGACTCTTAGGGCATTATGGCAGGCACGTTGCCCCGGCAGATGGGATGGGTCTTATCGGTCGATCCGCAGAACTGCATTGTTGTGATGCCTGGAAACTGGGGTACCATGCGTACCCGACAACAGGCCCATATATATACACAACGTGTGGCACTCTTTATTATTTCCAACTGACATCAAGCTTTGGAAGACAGCTGTTATCATCGTTTAACTTAGCTGTCTATTCCTGTCGAACCCCCAAGGTGGCCCTGCTTTCCTTTTCCCCTTCCCCCCGTCTCAACTCCCCGTCGTAACTAACCTACGCAACCAATTAAACTACTCTTCCAAAGCACCAGCAGAAATGAAGGCCGCCATTACCGTCCTCACCACGGCCATCACCATGACAGCCCTGGCCGTTCCTCATCGAGCGGCACGAGACAGAAACAGCACCGACATTAACACCACCCTCATTCCAACTCTCATCCTCATGCCCACGCCGACCACCAAACTACTCCTACCAGACACAACCCTCGTGCCGAGTCCCAGCGGTAAACACCTCCCACCCTCTGCGTCCACCGGGGCGGTCCACCTCGATTCCACGAACAAGGTCCTCGTCACGCTCACGCCGGCCGCGAGCCCGAGCCCGAACCCGACTGCCACGGACAAGAAGAGTAATTCGGAGAATAAGGATGGGAAGAAAGTAGGTTCTAGTGTCCCTTGTCCTGCTTGATGTGAGACGTGCTAAACTGGTGCGTACAAGAAGGTTCATATTATTGGCTCGGTAAGTTAAATCTTTGAGGTCCGAGTTCTGGCTATTACGCTCTGCTGGCGTCCGTGTTTGCTGACCATGATTGTGACCTACGGCTAGCTTATGAACTCGGTGAGTCTATCCTACCTTGGATTTGTTAGCTGTGGTGTGAGCAGACGCTGATGAGTTGTTCCGGGATCACAGCTCGGCCTTGATGTAAGTTAAGACGTTCCTCCGATGGTGGTCTCTTCCGGTGGGATGAGGTGCTGATTATGCGCAGGGGGTCATGGGATCGCTGAATTCATTAATATCTTCAGAGTGATGGAGTTTCAGGTCTTTTCTATTTTGTTTCAGCAGTGGCTTTGGGGCGGGAATGGAGTACGCGGTCTGAATGTTCGACTTAAGCTGATGAGCCGGAAATCTATTATTGGCCGATAGCGTTTTGATATGTGCGGCGAATGATCTTTTATCGTTTGAATGTATGCTAGATCTCTACGATGCGCAATGCCTAATTGTACAAGAACAACTTTTTCCTCTCCTCCAAACAGCTCGTGTCAATGAATCCACTTCTACCCGCGAATCTCCCAGAGTCGAATACGTCCCTGCTCGTTGGCGACTGCCAGCTGATCCGAGCCAGGCGAGACAGCTACTGACGAGATACGGCCAAAAGGCGTGTTTGATGTCGGCCAATTGCGGTACACCGTACAAGAAGGAAGGTGAACTGTAGAGTGTCAGTCAGTGAAAGTCATCATACGCAGTGACAGATATAGAGGCTTACCCAATCTCAATGCGTCCCGCTTCCACCGACTCGCCATCACAAGGAACTGCCCGTCTGGTGCAAAGACCAGATGGCTGATGGGTGTAGTGAGTTGATCCAAGGCACGTACAGGCTCCGGGTTACGGGGGATCGGCGACGTCTCCGAAGAGGTAGCCTGTGCAGCATATGCGGCCGCCCATTCGCGACGGTCGTAGACATTGACTACACCGCTGGAACTTCCAATGGCAACCCAACGGTCTCCACCCAACTGTGTCCGTCCAGAGCGTCCACCAAGGTTGAGTGTCGTCGTGCCCACCGCACCGGCGTCCATCCAGCGAGCCACAACCCGGTTCAGACGTCCGTCCCATTCAGACACCTCGCCGCTCTTGCTCGCGACAGTCATACCTTCTCCGTCACTCCACCAGGCGAAATCGGCGACACCCCCACGGCCGTCCACGCGAACCTGGGCAATCCACTGCGCCGTCTCCGAGTGCAGAATGTTGATGATACCACCTCCTTTGCGAGAGGAGCCGACTAGTCCGACATACCGCCCACAGGGTGAGAGCTTGAACCGCTCCATGGATTTCTGTTCCTCTTTACGATCCGCAGTGCCATTGACCTTCTCGACCTTGCCACTGTCGAGGTCCCAAATGTGGAAGTATCGTCGACGACCAGAGGCAAAGATCTTGTTACCAGTAGGAGGAGCAAAAGCGGAGGTGTGGATGGGCGTACGGCGGATGTGGAATGACGTGAGGAGAGGATTGGGAGCCTCCGCAGAGGGTGAGATGTGGTGGATGAAAAGTGTTGCTGCAGGTCCGGACGACAGAAGCAATGGATAGTGAGGGTGGAACATGAGTGAGTCGATGGAAGACTGGCAAGCAGAAGCGTTAATACCAAAACCTAGGAATGATACCGGTGACACAGAAACTTACCGGCTGATCCTTGCCAACATCCTTAAGTCTCTGAATATCTATCACCTCCTGTCGCAATTTTCTCTTGCCTCCTGGGCCTGTGCTTTCACCAAACGTGGTCAGATCAGTAGCACTTTGCAGCAGCTTGGCCAATGGTTGAGTAGATAACCGCTCATTCTCATCATCCGTATCCATGTCGCTGTCACGATCAGAGTCCGAATCGGTCCGTTTTTTGTTCAATTCCGGGGTGGCCCAGTCCGGTACGGGGTGCAGCTGCTCGAACTGTCTGCGAAGTCGCTTGATATACTCCTTGCCGCTGATGACATCTTCCGCCTCAGTGATGCGCAACTTCCTCAACCTCTGGTGACTAGCCAGCGAAATCGCGAGGCGCTCATCGTCGCTGTCGTGCCACACCGCGCGATGCGTCTCCTCCGCTTCTGTGTCTTCCTCAGAGTCGGACCCCGCTGCGGAAGTCTCTGCAAGTTCAGTACCAACTGGCGCAGTGCCAGAATCGAGGAAGAAGAGCTGTAGGGAATGCTATTAGCACGCGCACACCTAACGGGGATGAGGATGAACAAACATCTGCATCAGCAACATCTGACAAATCCCGATCGTCAAAATCATCGCCCTCACCCTCTTCACTACTACCCTCCTCATCGCTCTTCGCCATCAACGCCATAATATCGCGATCCTGGCTCTTCAATGCGCCCACGAAACCCTCGTCATCACCGAAGAGCATTCTCTCCAGCTTCTTCTCCGCCTCATCCTTCTCACGCACTTTCTCGGTCTCAGCGCCGTCGACCTCCATTTCCACGTCGGAAGCGTCGCTCTCGTCAACAGGTTTGGACGAAGCTCCGTTCTCAAATGGAGAGCGCGAGTTTGCCGTTGTCTTTTGGCGGGTCATTTCCTTGACGGTGACGGTGGTTTTGGGCATCTTGCCGTCGTTTGGATGCCAAAAATCTCAGACAATAGTAGGAAACCGTCTGAGTCAGTATAATTATAAATGTACCATATGTAGAAATCGCAGTGTGAGACTATTGTCCAGATCAAATGAAATGTCGACTGCGGGCCGTCCAAAGACCTGACAATAATTTTCTTTTCGCTTCAACGGCAGAACAAGGCGGTGATCTTTGCGGTGGGCGGCGTTGCCTTATGGCATCTTCTGGTTCAAGCAGCAATACAGCTATAGTGGTGACGGTCAACAGAGTTGAAACATTGAAAGTGACTAATTTATTCCAACATATCGTGGGATAATTGTTCAAGAATAACTGTTGTCGCGGAAAGAGGATGACACGCCAATTCTGCGTACTCTACCCTATGCCTAATATACTACCCTTGGCTTCGATTGCACGATGAGACGTGATATCTTATCGGAGTGGGACTAAAGCATATACATGTCGTTTGGATCGCTATAAACAGATTTCTGGAAGTGTATGCCTCAAAACAAGAAAATAAGAGCAAGAGTGGCCGCGACATCGGCACGGAAAGTATCCAAATCAAGCACCCAACGCCGACGCATAAGCATAACTAAGGTTGTCATGAGCTCTTGTTCTGAAGTGTAAGCTTTGTCGAAGATGACATTGCATCATATTCTCCATGACTGCTGCTGGAGCTGGCAGACGCCGATGACGTCGGGGAGAAATACTCCCCATCAACAGCCGGATCGTACTCGGTATGACCAAATCCGCGCGGCCGTGCGGGCGGTTCCAGGCCTTCGCTCAGATCCTTTCCTATGATACCTCCATCCGGCCCAAAGGTATCATCATCGTCAACGTCAGTCAGCCGTGCACTGCGCGGTGTTCGACCGTCATCCAGCAAAGCATCTTCCACCTCATCTCCTTCCTGGAGCAGCTCGTGAGTTCGAGATAGCGGTTTCTTGATGAAAGTATCGATGATGTAGTACTGGATCGCGTTCATGATCACTGGGAAAAGCAGCATGACGAAGATGATCTGCAGAGCTGTGTTCCCTTCTGTCCAGCGCAATGCCCAGTCACCTATCTTGACAATGAAGGGCAGTAGTTGAATGAGAAAGAAGACGCAGATTTTCATTCCCAATAGTCCAAAGAAGTATATCATAGCCTGCTTGAACCACCAGGCGGCCCGTGGCGGAGAGCCATAGTTTCCAGACTCGATCGATTCCGGGGGATTCGCAAGGGGAGTATATGCCGCTAGGCGGTTTAGGATGTGGAGAATAAAGATGAGAATGGGGATTCCGAGTGTAGTCTGATCCGGGGGTCAATTGTCAGCTCTTACATCACTATAGATTCCGCAATGTCCGGAAATGACTCACGTCAATCCCCAAATTCAATAGATAGAATGAGCACGGATTCGGTCTGTATTTGCTCGTGATTTCGAACTGGCCGGCAGAGAACATGGACATAAGTAGATTCGCAAGATGTAGCATTGCCGACCCAAAGACTTGTTTTGATACGTCAAATGCCCACACCTTCACAGGCCGCTGGGGTCTCTCCCTCCAGCGCTTGTATACCAAGGACAAAAGCGCCAGGGATCCGAGTGCCGCTTGGACGAGAATCGAAAAGGGACCCAGCAGTCTGCATTCCCCGTTGTCTTCTCCATCAGGATCATGATGCGGACCAGCCAGGGAAGAGGGTACAGGTATGGAAGTTGTGGGTGATGATGTAGCGGGGCCACTGGTGATTACTGCGATGGCTGTAGCCGCGGCTGCCAGTGAAGTCATAGATGGGAGAGACATTGCTGCTCTATCTCTGCCTTCGACGTCCGCAGTCTCCAAAAAGAATTAAGGCAGGTCGAGGCAATGAAACTAGGGCTCTTTCAAGAGCTCCCTATAATACGAGGGCGGCTCGTATAGCAGGCATCAGTGACGATGACCGAAATAGAGTGTACTGCTGGACCAGCCACAATGCTTAAGACCTGAGTTTGGATAGATCAAAATTGCCGAAAATATATGAAAGTAAGAAAAGAGATCTTGAATGGATGTCCTTTACCAGCAAGGAGTCGGAACCAGTCCAGGTGGGTTGCCTTGAAATGCAGACAAGTCGTCAGTGCCAGAATGAGACACGCCTCCGCCATGTGACGGCCTATGGTTCACTAGTTCAGTTTAGTCACGCCGCTTATCCTGCAGTGCCAAGGCGCATAGATGATTTCACCATCACTAGTTCTTACTGTCGGAATACGTCTAATGATTATTCTTTGTCTATATTTCCCTACGCTACATATTTCTCCAAAAGAGGGATCGGTAGTCAAACAACTCACTTCATTGGTGACACTCAATGTGACGAGTGAGATATAGCAATTATCCAAAGACATGAGAAGAAGTACAGGCAAAAAAAAATTCAACCCCTGACAACTTCCTGAATCATGGGTATCACAAGTCCAATGTGAAGATAGACTCGTGGTTTAACTTAATGATCCATGCATTCTTACAGTCTGGACCATGTCAACCAGCTCGTACTGTAAGGGCACAACTCTGGAATTGCCTAACTCATTCACAGATCGAAACCATGTTTAAATCATCAGTCTCTCGACCTTGTCCTTGATGGTTCTGATCTGGCCCATAAGGTCACTGGCTTCGTTGGTGGTGATGCTGGCCGCAATCACGGGACGGGAGACACCAGTCGCACGGCCCAGAGCGAGCTTGCTAGGAACGTACACGTAAGGAACCTGATTGATAGTTAGTATTCAACCAGAGTATAAGTATATCGAAAGGAAAACCATACGTTCTTATCTTCGCAAAGAAGCGGAATGTGAAGCAGGATAGCCAGAGGGGAGGTGTCGGCAGCGAGGATGACAATTTCGGCGGTACCACGATTGAGAGTCTTGGTAGCTGCAGAGGAATGTCAGTCAAGGGCAAGACACAAGGGGATAACCAGGTAGACATACCCTCGTTCGCACCCTTCTTCAGCTGGCGGTAGTGAGAAGCCTGCTGCACCAAATCCAGGAGGTTCTGGGTGAGGGCCTCATCGGCAATGGGCCAGGCTGCATGGGCGGATTCATTAGCAGACGGTCGCAAGACGAGGGTTAAAATTTCGCTTACCGGCAGAAGTTTCACCAGACATGATTTGAAGTGAGTGTTGGCTTTTTCAAATAAGATGAAATGGCTCACTCAAAGGATCACTGCCGTATTGCAGGGTATCTAAAGAACAAGTGGAAAGAGATGCTTGAGAGTAGACTTCATGATAAGAGCCCTGCAAAGAAAATCTTGAAGAGAAAATGGTTGGTGGGGCCGCAGGTGTCCCCAGCGCTAGTCCTTCTTGGGATGGGGTGCACCCAATGGTCAGGGATCGTTTCATACCTTAATTATAAGGCAGTGAGCTAATGACCTCATGCCAATACAGTACTCAAGTGTCAAGGTCTGTAGAAATCTGTCACTTTTGTTACAACACATATCGCTTCCGTGTATCATTGTTCTTGAAGAGTATTGAATGAAACCAACCTGGATTCTGCCCTCGATTACGAGGTCATCTAGTGAAATGGAAAGGAATCTTACCCTGGTTATGCCACCATGTAAAATCAGTCCTAATGAGTGTAGGTAGCCGTACGACGGAGACCTCTACTATATCCCCTCCGCTATGCTGTAGACTTTCGAAGGCGATGTCATGATCTTGAGCTCATGCACGACCGCAAGTGAGAGCCGTCGCAACTTCTCAGAACACCTCGATCACGCTTTGCGGGTGCAGACTTTTTCTAAACTACTGTTTCTTATTCATATGTCCTAAGACGATGGAGATCAAATTCCGCAAGCTGCCCATGCCGCAGCAACGGAAAGGATAATAATATTGTTGATAGCAACTGGCCGGCACAACAAAACAGATCCCAGCCCAGACGAGACTAACTCTGTCTCATTCCCCAGACCATGACCAGGGAGACTCATTATACCCGCCAGGAACCCTCATACCCGTAATTAAGAGCCACGAAAACCATAGGAGTCAAACGCCGGAAACCCCACAACCAACCCATGTTAGACAAGATGCAGCTCGATGCCTGCAAAGGGTACTCAGAGAAATCGACAAAAAGAAAATAGCGCCTCATTCTATCCCATGCTGCTGTTTGAGACGCTCCAAATTCTCTTGCCTTTCCGCCAGGTCCTCTTTCGACCTAAGCATTTTTTCCGGCTGGTGGTATAACACTAGAACCAGTAATCAGCAAAACTATTCTCCTTTCAACAAGAGTTGCTTGTTGTCACCAGGGGACACATACCGACAAGGTATCTGTTCTGAAAATTGAATCCATTGAGCTTATCGCATGCCTGTTTGGCGTCGTGAACGTCTTCGTATACAACAAAAGCGGTACCCTTTGAGTTGTTCGCAATTCCTTGGCGTATTTGACTGAAATCTTGTGAGCTTATATTGTAAAACACAAAAAGTGTGCATGTCTGTCTCAAGAGCGTGGCTTACCGGATGGGCCCAAATTTGCCGAAGAGGTCAAATAGCTGCTCAGCGGTCACGTTGTAGCTGCAAAAAATCATCTCATCAGTCCCTGGTCATCAAGCGGCACTATAGGTAATTCGCATATATGCAGAAGACATGAGAGTAGTCGAACTGTCGATCTCGGAGCAGGGCAGTCATAAATGAAACGTACTTGAGGTTCTTGACGAAGAGAATCCTGGAAAACCGTTTGTTAGCATATATGACTATTTATGCGCAATATGCCCGCGTCTAGTTTAGGACAGCGACTATCGCGTGATGGGAGGCCAAGAGCAGTAAGAGACTCTGGCGGAGGGGCAATTTCGCGCGAGGAGACTCACCGATTGGCTTCGGGGGCGAGCTTCCGGCTCATTCTTGGGGGAACGAGGAAAGTCTAGAAAAATCAATAGGCAAGGATATGAAAAGCAAGAGTGACACCCAAAGAGGATGGTATCAATCAGAATAGCAGAAAGAGGAAGAAGGAGTAGAGGGGAGTCGATATCTGTCTCGGCGGAAGAGCGCAAGATGAAAGTGAGCACGAGGTTTGGAAGGGGGGATTCCTTCCCCGATTGGGCTTAGAGGCGCCGGCAACCCTCACTGTGTTGGTTCCTCTTGTCGACCGATGCCGATGGCGATTCCCAATTATTATTATTATCCATTGGAGATCGATCGCACTCAGATCTACAATCATATTGGACTTCGTCTATTAGAAGCTACAATTATCAGAGATATACTAATTAGTCATATTCATGCAGGAGACAAGCCGACGCTCGAAGTGCCGATCGCCAATGGCCACTATCTCTCCCCAGTATCGCCGCGAACGATAGCAACCTCGATATATTGACAGTAGGTCTGGAGTACATAAGAAGGCTTAAATAGCAGCGGTACTAGTACTTAGCTGGCGTATCAATCCCTGAGATAACTACTGTACGGTTATGTGGATAGCCTGTGCGCTGCTATGTAGAATGTAAAACAACTGCTGGTGGGCTCCGGCTGGCCTTCTAAGTTGCCTCCCTCTCCCCAAGTCACCTTAACTCCCAGCCAATACCGTCAATCGTCGATTGAAGGGTAATTGACGGCGCTTCTTTCAATCCTTTCCAGCCATAATCATCTTTCCATCCCTCAAAAATCTTCACTGTCCCTGTGGTGACAAATCTCCCGATAACTTTGCCCGCCTGCCGCGGCGGTGCGTCTCACACTCGGTGCTGCAGTACTCTCCCGCCCTCGAACTAGTAGTTGGCAGAGAGGGAGTCAACTTCCCTCCCCCTCAACTTCCCAGCGCTCCGGCGTGCGACCTTGCTCCCTCAACGTCTCATCCATTCAGTACTCGATTTTCTATCCTAATCCGCACGTATTTATCGTTTTCTGACTGTGCGCTTTCATCATCTGCCAGGAATGACTCTCTTTTTGCCTGCGGTGGCCTCTCTCTAGCCCGCGTGGTTTATCACCCCCGCTTTGAACTCGCCTTCCGCAGGCACATCATAATCTTCTCCGGCCCTTTTCTTTCCTTTTATCTTCTCTCTACTACTCCCAGGCTTCATCATGATAGGTGCCACGTCCTTCTTGAACCACTCCGGGCCTCGACCGCCGCGATACCGCACTCCGTCTCCTCCGCGACGCGCCGTGGAGCCTATCTCTCCTTTCACAATCACCGACTTCCGTGCCTCGTGGATTGACCGCGGAGACTCGCAAGCTGCGAGCTCTGATCGCGATCGGATCACGTTGAACAATGATGTCTATTCGAGCACAAATCGGGGATCTCATGGCCGAATCAGCCATGGTCGCTCCAGCTCCACGATTGACACTCTCGCGACAATCGCCTTGGCGACCAGTCCTACTTTTGCGCCTCTTTCCTACAGACCTCCTTCTCAAGACTCAACGCCTGCCATGTCACTCTTTCCTTCCCAGTCCATTGAAAGTACAGAACGTCCAGCCAAGCGACCGCGGTCGGAGAAAAGTCCCTCTCCCTTACATCACCCGCAGACAGCCGTCGCGCCGGATGCAAATCCTTCCTCCGCCTTCGACAGTATGAAAACCGACGCTGAGCTTCTTCTAAATTTCGCGAGACCAAGCAACTTCCACCCTGCCGCTTTCTACCCCTCGAAACGGGTGAGCATTGATGAGTCGTACCATCCTCATTACGGCGAGGAACCGAATAGCCACTTTCGGGCTGGTCTCGGAAGCACATATACTCTGCCACAGGACGAGAAATCTTCTTATCTCGCTTCCACGAATACTGCGTTTCCATCATCTCGAATGAGATCTCGGTCAGACGGTTCGGCCTTCATTTCTCGACCCGTCATTCAGGGAGTACGACCCAACACAAGCGCTTCTACACTTCCTCCAATTGTCTGGCAAGAGGAAGAAGGCAATGCCAAAGTGGGTCCAAGATCTCCAGACACGAAATTGCCCGGGGTTGAGGCACGATACGAGAGTTCCGTAGAAACCGGCGCTGATCGGATATCAATGGATGTGCGTCCCAGGGGAGATGACGATACAGAGTCCGAGGAGAACAATCAGGCGAACTGCGCCGCCTGTAATCTGGTACGAATACCGGTGGATTCAGAAGAACAAGGAGATGTCACATGGATCAGTTGTGACGGCTGCAAGCAATGGTTTCATATTGTCTGTGCCGGATTTAAGAATGATCGCGAGATACGGACAGTCGACAAGTTCATCTGTCGCCGGTGTCGACCGACTCACGGACAGACAACTTTTGTTCGAAAGTCTTCTCGAGCCCGCACTGCCATTGATTATGCTGGTCTCAACCAGGGTCTTGTCAAGGCCGCCAGCGATTCTGTGGAACACCATTATATTGAATCCATTCGGGAAGGTAAGATTCGATTTCTCCCGGAAAACTTCCCTCGGATGAGACCAGAGTTGGTCACTGCCGAATACTTCGAACGCGGCAGCGGCATGACAGAGCCGATCGTTATTCCCGCACATTTAAACACCCGTGATTCTATTCCCATCGTCGACCCCGAATTCGACGCCCTTGTCCAGGAGGCTAGTAGCCAAGAGATGTTTGATGAACTGTTGGAGCACATCCCAGAGGAGGGCAAGAACTTCGAGATCGTCATCGATTGCGGCCAAGACCAGTTGGACATGGTTGTTCCTCAGGGTCTCACTGTCCGAACGGTGGCGGAGCTTCACGGCCCTGAAGAGAGAGTCGAAGTCATTGACGTCAAATCCCAGCAGGGCGAGGACAAAAGGTGGAATATGCAGAAATGGGCTGACTATTATGAGAGTACCGGCTCCAAGGTCGTTCGCAATGTCATCAGTCTGGAGGTCTCACAAAGTAAATTGGGCAGACTAATACGCCGACCCAAAATTGTGCGGGATCTTGACTTGCAGGATGCGGTATGGCCTGAAGAGCTCAAGGCGATCGGTGATTATCCGAAAGTTCAGTTTTACTGCCTGATGTCTGTCGCAGACTGCTACACTGATTTCCACATCGATTTCGGCGGGTCTTCGGTCTTCTATCACATTCTGAAAGGCAAAAAGACTTTCTTTTTCATCCCACCTAAGGACAAGCATCTGAAGAAATATGAAGACTGGTGCAACTCTCCCGCGCAAGACTCCACGTTCCTTGGCGACCAAACCAAGGAGTGTTACCGCGTCGATCTGTCCGAAGGCGATACCATGTTGATTCCATCTGGCTGGATCCACGCCGTGTGGACTCCCACGAACAGCCTGGTCATTGGCGGTAACTTCTTGACGCGACTCAACTATGGAATGCAGATCAAGGTTGCCAAGATCGAAAAAGATACCAAGGTTCCTAGGAAGTTTCGGTATCCATTCTTCCAGAGGATCCAATGGTACACCGCGTTGAAATACCTGGAGGACGATCCTATCCCTCAGAGTGTGCTCGACGCTTTCGCTGAGGATGAAAACTACCGATTTCACAGAGCTTATCCTATCTACTACGAATTTGGGGAGCGCGAAAATAAGGCGCCTGCCGGGGATCCATATCACAATTCTCGATTTTACTCCCAGGCCGAACTTGAGGGACTTCCAGACCTTGCCAAATACCTGCTTCGGACAGCATTAATTGCCGGTGGCTACATGGTTGAGGGAGTGACGATGGATGCTAGGAACGCTGTCAAGCGATCTATACCGAAAGGCCAAGGAGACCCAGTTGACACAGTGAGAAAGTTTGGAATCTGGGTTGCGTGGAAGCGTGGGAATGAAAAGGCTCCGCAATGGACGCTCCCTGGTGTGGTGGAAAGCAACGCTAAACTCAGCCTCACGGAGAAGAAGCCAGCAGGGCGACCTAGCCGTCGATCAGAGCGAAATGCAGAGGGACAGCGCATGTATGCAGAACGGCAAGCTGTACAACGGCCACTAGAACAACCTCCCGATTTGACCAATGGCCTTTCCAGCGAAGAAAGCTCATCTGCACCTTCGACCGTTGAGATCCCTCAGCCTGCCATTGTTTCGACGCTTCCAGTCACCGAGACGAAGGAACTGAAGGAAGAAATGGTTCAGAAACCTCGATCTATACATCGGAGCTCTGGATTGGGTCCTAAGCGTGTTGCGTGTGACGCGTGTCGCAAGCGAAGAATCCGATGTCGGCATAAAGATGAACACAACGACACAATATCCGCAAAGCAAACGACGTTTGGAGCTTTCCCTGCAGGAGTCCAATCATCTTTGGCTCACGATGCCGCATCCGCGTTGAATTCATTGGCGGCCATCGCGTCTGAAGCAGGCTTGCAGGACACCGCGAATGGGTATGGTCTAGATCGACTTGAAGCTTCTGGGAATTACAGCACTGCCATCTTGAGCACACCGAGTGCTGTCACCAGCAAAGTCAATGATGGCAGCCCTGAGGGTCTCAGCACGGGAAAGAAAGGGCGCAGCAAGGCTTGTGATGATTGCCGCAAGAGCAAGGTTCGTTCTTATTGTTTCTCTCCCTGAGCGTGTGCATAGCTGACTATGTCTGTAGCGCCGGTGCATTCACGATGAATATGGTAGAATCGACCCCATCAAAGCCCAAGAACGATCGAAGCCTAGGGCGGCAGCCTCTGCCAAGAGGCCGCGTCCTCAGGAGGAAGACGCGGCCTTTGCCTTGAACAAGAGGCCGAAGCAGGAAAGCACGTCTCCTGTGGCGAGGCCGGCCAGTCTCTATAGAGCTGAAGGGGACATGTCTCATACGCAGAGGCCGCTTGATTTGGAAGCTTCCTCATACTTTGGCACGTCGCACGCCTACAATGGCATAGCTCAGACAAATCTGACATCTGCCGAGAGAAAGTCTCACGTGGGGCAGACTTCGTACGCATCCCCACCGGCATTTCAGTCTGACACGGTTGTTATGGAGGTCGATGCGGCATCCGTGTCGAAGCCAACCGCTTCACTTGTTTCACCGCCAACTTCTCAGGCAGACGAGACGGATGTGCCTCCCGAACAGGATGGAGAGAAAGATAACCATGTTGTTTATTACACGCCCACTACTAGTTCCCGGCATTCCTCGCGTCAACCACGTCACGTCGACAGATATGTGCCCGAAAGCCAGCCAGCCAAAGCCGTGAAGACGACGACACACACACCGTCTGCAAGACGGGCATCCTTCAGTGGGTCAACCACGGCTCGTAGAGTTACGCCTGGTGCGCAGGGAAGCTCGAAGAAATCTGCATCACGCCCCTCGTCGTCTCATGCGAAGAAAGGAGTCTCTCCGGCGGCAGAGAAGAAGTTCGACCGTATGACTACAACTTCAACGTCTCCAGCGCATAAGGGCGCGAAACGTGAACGCACGGCGATTGCTGACGACGAACCTGATGCGGAGAGCTTACGCTTGATTCGCGAACTGCAAGAGCAGGACTTTGGCTTGCGCAAGCGAACTGCGCGAGTGTGAACTGGGTTGGCCTCTATAATCTGACCCATATTGAAGCGGTGCTATCCATGACGGTTATGACTTCGTTTTCCTTTGTCTTTGTCATTCTTTATTTTTTTTTTTCATAGGGTATCCGGCCTGGAAATCGGCAGGGTTGAGAGTGAGAGCCGAGAAGGCGGGAGTCACATGCGCGGTTTGGCATTTGGGGAACATCAGGCGGAGTTCTAAGCGTCCGATTTCAAGGTCATCTTTTGCTCTTTCGGTTGTTTTAACAGGATTTTGCACACGGCGTTCTTTTGCTGGCAAGGGTTCTCCTGGGGTAATTGTTGGTTTGGGGGTTTCTTCATTGCATTAATCGTTTACCACAGGGTATTATTCTCCTACCTTGTTGACCGCTTCAACTACATTTCCTTATTTCTTTTTCATCGATTATCGATTATCGATTCCTTACTCGGCGTTTACGTGCGTGTAATGGGACAAATCGGCTGATAACCCTGGTGTATTTTGTCTCAAAGGATTCAATTCGTTCATTCGTCTTTCTCTGACCAGTTTTCTTAAACCGTGATTTCAACTTTCACTTGCGTACGTGCCCTGGGCACTTCTTCTCTGTGTTGGAGTGATTAATTTCCGAAGGATTGAATCTGAGTCTCCTTCTTTCTTCTCTCCTTACTGAATGTCCAATACCACTTGTGGCATCATGGCAAGTTGAGTAATTCGTTTTCAGTGCTGCAGTTGATGGCTCTACCTTAGCAAGCAAGCGTGTGACTGTTCTCCCTGTCCTTCTGTAGGGTTTCCTAATAATTGAGTGAAATGAGAATTTACTTAAAGTCAGTGGCTTCCTGGCTTCCGCGAATATCTTATATTTGAGTCAGTTTCTAATATTTTGGATATTTCGACTTAAAAGTCCACATCACGTCTTCCGAGTCTATCCCTATAGTAATCAACATTCGTACGAACCGCAACACCAGTCCCAAATCGTGAAAATCAAATAAAACATAAGGATGAAGCAGGTAACTTCACCTTCTGGGTGCAGAAAACTCCAACATCAATACAGAAGGAAATCTTGGGTCTCATCATCCGTCATATGCGTTGTCGTTTCACCGTCTAGTTCCCGCTCCCGGCCTTGACAAGCAAACAAGAAAAACTTGAGGGGTATATGCGATAAATGCAACAGATACAAACACTGAAGCAGGGATTCCCACGGGGATACGCTAGGTTGTTCACTTGGAACATATTTCAACCAAACACCGTGTCAGTGCCAACCAGGGCAGCGATGCTTCATTTGAGAAGTACCAGATCACACTGGATTCTCGTGGGGCTGGGGATTCGACAGGCGCTTGGGCCGCATCTTTTCGCCCACCCAATCTTTAATCACGCAAGGATCCTCGTCGGGTCCTTGGCACACCTTGCGGCGGTCCAGATGCTTGAACCGCGGGCCCAGGGGACCGTTGACATAGTGATACTGGCCCGCGAAGCGATACTGTCGACGATCTCCCAGAGGATAGAACTTATCTCCCCAGTGACCGTTAAAGTAGAACCACTCCGTAGGTGCCAACGGGCTGGCTGTGGAGGCGCGCAACGTGTCATTCGCATGATCATACGTATACATGTGCGAATTCAAGAGGGGATCCCATAGAGGTCCTCGGTCCGTTTGGTCATGAAGAAGACCCCCGGGTAGAACATACGAATGGACACCAGGAGTGGCATACATGGCATGCGTGCCCACTGCCGAATATATGACTGGCTACACATTGGAAACGGTTGATTAGCCTCTAATCCAACGAAAATCACCCATGTTGGGCGTCGCAACTTACCCGTTGTCCGATTTTCTCGACCGCTTCATAACTATATGCCTCGCCTGCGGAATGCGCACTAAAGAAGAGAGCTTTAGGCTTGCCGTTAGAGAACCGGACGAGGCAATGCTCCCAGTCGCCGATGTGGTTGCCGAACCGCACATTCAGAACCACATTTCCGAGATTGAAACTGTAAAAGAAGAACCAAAAGGCATCGACTATGCCGTTGCCCTTGTCCACGACGAGCAGCACTGCAGGCGCATCACTTCGGCCTCCGGTGGCTTGCATCTTTATCGGTTCGCCACCGTATCGTTTCCGCAGCTCGTCCCTGACCCTCTCATCCTGCAGAAGATCCTCTGGCTTGGAGTAACCGAGATCCTCCAATGGTAGATTGGCTGCTTCGTCTTCCGACATTGATTTGTGGTTCGTGTCATACCATTTTAAGCGACCCTCGGGTGTATCCCCCGGAATGGCCCCGTCTACTCGACCGTCCCAGTCAGACCACGATGCTTCAGAGTGCTCGTCTGGCGAAACAGGGATATTCTTTTCTCCTTCCAACCATGGGGGCCGTTCCTCCACATCATCGTTACTGGTTAAGAAGACGTAGCGACCATCCTGCCATTTGTTCAATTGATCCAGATTCTCCAACGTCGGATGAATCCGCTTAGACTGCACCGGCGTGTAGTTTAACATTGGTGTGATGTGGAACAGATGCTCTGCGATATCACAGGGCCAGAACTGCTCGTTGGAGAATAGGTGCACGAGAGGAGCATGTTCAAAAACATAGTCGGGTATCTCTCTGAGCGAACGTTCGGCATCATCCCACTGATTTGCCGGATGCTCCTGTTCTCGGAACCAGAAGGCCCGCCACGGAGCGGCCTCGTATTGCGCAGAGACAGAGGTATTGGACTCCGTGAGGAATCTCCGCTGGCCGAATCGCGGACCAGCCGTGCGGAAATGAGCGGTACCGCAGAGACTCAGCCAGCGACAAGCTTTGCGGTCAAACCACGACCGAGAGGATGCGATCCAGCGCTGCTCATCCCTGTCCTCATCGTACCAGATGAATGCCGCCGGATTCAAGGCACGTACTAAGCTATTGATTGAAACATACGCAATTAGTGAAGACAAAATGATAATGGTGCCTTTCGCTTTGCCAATCATCTGCTCCACAGCCAGGGAGACCGCCCCGACGTTGGATGTATTTGCACTAAAAGAAGGATCAGGCACCGAGGGATCGGCCTGGCGATTTTGGGCAGTACTGGTCGACGTGGCCGCTATGGTAGTAGTAGTAATGGTAGTAAGGCTTAGAGATGTTCCAATTGGGATTGCACGGCCAGGCGCAAGTGAGATCGGGATGGTCAAGGGGGACTCCTCAGAAGGAAATGAGGGAAGATGAGGGTCATGAGAGGTGACTACGGGGCAAAAGACGAGGAGGGTGTACAGAAACGACCAGAAAGTCAGGGCAACAAGGCCCGAAGATGGAGGGGACGACACTATAAGAAAGCATTGCACAGGTTAGCAGTGGTCGAGAACAGCTATGACTAGTACCACTACCGACTTCAGTCACGGATCCCGCGCGCAACGACCGAGTCAGGCTAAGAGAAAATAAACACGAAATAATAGAAATGTAAACTCATGGACAGAAAGGGAAAGACAAAAGCCAGGGATCATCCAGTCAGAAGGAGGGACCGGGTATACCGGAAGGGGATTAGATAATTGTGAGGGCCATGGTTGTGAAGATGACAGAGGCAGAAGGGGGAAAAAGTGTAAAACAGAACATGGTCATCATTCTTCAATGGAGAACGTGAGGGCAGCAAAAAGTGACGGATGCATGTGTAGACAGTGGATAGCGAGCGTGCGAATTAGCTCCTTGCTTCCGCACAGAGCCGGATTGACGATGTGTGCCAACAATGATGCAGGCGGACAAGGGGAGGACAAGAAGGGCAAATCGGATCGGCAAGCAGGCAAGTACGAACCGAACAGGGAACATGAAGATGATCAAATCAACAGATGGATCTGGACGGAGGTGCATGGGGTTTGTCTCTGAACGGAAGACGACGGATATGGATAACACCATCGGTGATCTTCCGTAGGGCAGAGGATTATTAATTGTTGATTGCTTGGTATTATTGCAGATGGATCTTCATGGAAACATGGAAGCAATTGATGACAATAGATGATAATGATGATGATGATAAATACAAGCAGCTTACTTTTTATGGTAGTTACTGTGTTCCTGTTGCGTTTGGCTGATGTGGAGGGGTAAGGTGAGGTGTATAGGAAAGATGGATTGATGAAACCGGGGATTGGGCTGATGGAGGATGTGGAAGATTAATGAATGCAGCCAGAACGGATGAGATCACCAGGGACGATCCATACGAACGGACGAAGGAATTGAGTTATATCTTTCCAGACTGACAAGCACAGGGAAGATCATGATGACGGTGTTCGCACAACACATTATGCCCAGATTACAGTAGAGAGAAGGAAAGATAATAATAGTAATGATAATAATGCTATAGCACTGTATGTTTGATGTTCCCTATCTGTTTGTTGTCCAACCCAGACAGTTAGTCTATGTAGTATCTTATCATGGATCAGCCCTGTGGAAATCAACCATCGTCATCAATAATCCCGGTTGTTCAGTCCTCACTCTCGCCCCTCATCAGCCATCAACACAAACATGGCCAAGGGGAGAAGTCTAAACTGTCTAACAGAAGTTAAATAACAAGTCAGCGGCCGCCTGGTTCCCAGTCCCAGTCCCACAAGGTGTTATCCAGCGGATCCAGTGGAGCTTCTGCCCACCGCCTTCTTCCATTGTCCCTTCTGCCAAAGAAGAAATCAGGGTCTCGAGCGCTAACGTAGCTATCTATCTATCTATCTATCTAGAGGGGTACTGTGACTGTCAATCTTATTTCTGGTTTCAAAACACGGTTGGTCATTTGGACTTTGAGCTAGCTAGTCGTCCGTCCCAGTTATCTGTTTATACCCAATGATCCTGCCGGCCTAAATCATGCAGTCTCATTCCGAGCCGATATTGGTCTTGGACCCGGCCATGTTGACAGATGAGGATCATGACTCCGAGTACGAATATGAATACCACGAGGTCGACACCGAGGTATGATTGATTGCTTGCTCCTTTCTCTCGCTCCCTCTAGGCGTTCGCTTGAGCTTAATTTGTTTCCTGTACGGTCAGACCTTCTACCTCAATCTCGACCTTACCTCCCTTCACGGGCCCATCCGTCCTCCCAGGCGCCGTGACCCCGCGTCCTCTTCTGCCACAGTTCCAACTACCCTGACTCCGACCGATGACCATGAACCAGCCATTGACAGCACCGAGCCTGACAACGTTCCTTCAGAGCGCGTGCAAATCCTGGGCCTTCACACCACCAACCCAATAGTCTCGTATCAAAATCAAATCTTCAGCTGCACATGGACAGACCAGATCGGGACAGAGCTGCTGTTCACTCGCCCAGAGACGGGCCACGAACCTGATCTAGAGTCTGCATTGCCGCAGATCTCTCCGTTGAGGCACGGTAAGGATTTTGACCTCATTGCTGCCAACAGCGTCAAAATTCTCGGTCGCAAAGCGAACCTGATCTCTAGTTCCGGCTCAGGGTCAACTCAGGAGCCCTCCATACAAACATCCGAAACGGTGAACGTGCTCCGCAAGACGGGACCCCAGTCGAATCAAGCTCGATTTCTGGAACGACTGATGCACATCAAGAGGCAAAGAGGTGAGACCGATACTGTGCGCACTGTCTTCAGTACGAAACGCACCCAGAATCTGGAGGATCGGCTACGAGGCTGGGCTCGAACGGAGGAGGAACTTGCAGAGGTACACCGGCTTAGCGAAGCTGCGAGTCGAGGAGATACCGTGGCGTTGACCGCGTTGGAAGAGCTCTACACTGAAATCAATGGCCAGAAATTTGGGCCGGGGATGTCGGACGAACCGACCCAGGCCCATTGATGTGCCTACAAAGTTTGCCTTTAATAATCACCGGTTAACCTGCGAGAGCAACTTGAATTAATTGCAGCGAGGCAGTTATTATGAACGATTGTCTGGCACAATACGATGATGCAGCTCGCCAGCGTCAGAATGGATCTGCCATGTGGTCACTCGAGGCAGTCCGAGTCTCCGGTCGAGGACGAAGAATCTGAGCGGTAACACACTCGGATGAGCCACAAAGGCACCCCTCCGACCTTACTATGCAGTGCACAATGGTTGAATGGTAGCTGAACAGGGCCTCGGGTCGGAACAGAACCTACATAACACTCTTGGCTTGCTCTCGCCGCATTCTCAATTGTGTTGACCAACTTGCCAACATGTTCGTCCTCTCTATGACCCAGGACAAGGATTGAACCGGAAGAGGCCATGCATCATCGTGACAATGCTTGCATGTGATGCTTCAACTGAATCCTATCGTCTTGTGGAACAGAACTGTGCCTGCAGGAATCATCCCATTACCTGATATACCAAGCGCAACTTAGATGGTCGATGCATCCTACGAGACGGAGGGAATGAAGTCATAAGATGTGATTATGAAGACTCGCTAGCTAGTCGATATTATATCACACTGTAAACGACTCGCGACGCCATGAAGATCCGAAACCAAAGCAATCAATCAATAGGATGACACTCAATACCTGCTTTTCCAAACCGAACCAATTCAACCCAATTCCCAACGTACTCTGGCAGAAGCACCGAAAAACAGATGAGGCTCGCTGAAAAAGGAAATGAAAACAAAACCGGGACAAACAACCTAAAATTCGGCTCCAGACAACAGCAGAAGCATCAAAGTCGCAATGCACAGATATATGGTACTTCGTCGCAGACAAGGCAGCAGCTGGTAGTGACGGTCAAACTCGTTTCCCCTCTCTCCCCCAGAAACAATGTGTTGTTCTTGACTCGACGGGCGACGGGGGAGGAGGAGGGGGATACTCCAATGCCCCATGAGGTTGCGAGTCGAGATGGATGGATTTGGGGCCGTCGGCGGACGCGAGGATCGCGCGGGAGATGTCCTGGGTAAAGGTCGAGGGTGTCACGAGGGTAGGACGGGAGGGAGGATGTGAAGGGATGGGCGAGGCCATGGCGACTGATAATTGTGGTTGTATTGTTGTTTGGAATGACTCTGACCCAGTTGCGCTGGAGAGTCCGATGGAAAGATACTGAGGTAGGAGTATGATTGGGAAAAATGGGCTAAGCTGCTGGAAGGAGCCGTATAAATCTATGTAGATAGGATACCCTTGTTAGCTACAGTTATCCGAAAGATGTGCCTCCGAGAATCCCCGAAGAAGGAGCAGGGCCGAAACAGAATGAGGAGAACAGCTCCATCGCCGACTGCCATGTGATGTAATCTTTGAGTCTTTGGAGAAGGCGAATCGCTCGTGAAGATCCTTCATCGGGGACAGGGAAGAGAAAGCAAATCGAGAAAAGCTTACCTGGACTGGGTGTACGTACGCTGGGGGATTATCCCGATGATGTAATGATATACACTGCTAGGTTGTACAAGCAGCGTGGGATGGGCTAAGCGAGAGAACAATCCCAAGTCACAGCAGCAAATGGTATGACAAGAGATATAATATCGTATGAAGAGACAGTGCAGAGAGCCAGGGGTACTCAAGGCTCTGGATACAACACTATGGAGTGGTGATGTGTGGCAACCTGTAAGCTGGTGAGCTGTCCACGGGGGCACCAGAATATAGAGAATGTGATAGTATGCTCTGCAAAACTGGAAAAAGCAGTACAGGTGAAAAGTAAAAGAATGATCGAGCATCTAAAAGGACCTAGGGAGACATCTAGCCGATATAAATGAGGATTGGGCCTGGCTAGGAACTAGTGTACATTGCTGAAGCATCCAGTCAAACACCCATAGATCATTTTAATCGTATCGGACAAATATTAGGTAGTGTTATTATTATTGTTATTTTTTTTTTCCCCAGTCGGATATCCCCATCACCCTTTTGTAATGTCCATCGCCAAGTCTAGGTCCTGGCAAATGGTTGGCCGTTAGGGATTATCGTCCTGAAGGGATCCAGGGTGTCTTCCTCAACGTACGATGGGCGTTCGCCCTGTTTTTCTGGCATTTATTTGAATGAGGCTTCATCCGAGACCTAGGGATTACTGGACTAGTAGTAGTAAGTAGTGTTGTTGGTCCGTTGGGTATCCAGGCGGGCCTTAGTGTACATCGCGCATGCTTGCCACGACGGACGGAAGGGCGGGAACGTAACCCGGGGGAAAGCTATTGTCCTCCGGGGGAAAAGCAGGGCTACCTTTGGGTAGTTAGGTGGCTCTGGTGGTGGGATAATTAGGAACAAAGGGGGTAAGATGGGGGAATATGCAAGTAACCTGGATATCTGATAGGCAGGCGAACAGCCGGTGGATAAGGAAGAAAGCTGGAGAAAGTATGGAGATCAGAGTGCATACGTGTGCATTCGATGGAGACTGTGGGGGTGAAAGCCTTGAAGGAGCTGCCAAGTCTTCCACAATTGCCAAAAGCTAGGCATAGTACCTCTCCTACTGTAAGGAGTAAAGGGAGAATTCGAAAGGGCCACCGGGAGTCCGGGAAAGATCGAGTCAGGGATTTCTGCGACGGATTTGGATCGTTACTGATTCTTATTCAGGAAAGGGGGTGATCGTACGGAGGAAATATTTCATTCAGATGTTGCCTGAGCATTAAGTACCTTTACTACTGGATGTACCAGCAGACATGTCACACTTTCTGCCCTGACTGGGTATCTACTTATTATTTGTCTCAAATATACGAGAGTGAGAAACATTCACTGCTCCCTTACGGCCAGAATCAGGCAGAAAACATGCCAACCTAATTCTTTGATGGTGTAGCCTGCCAACCAGCAAAAGAGGGAAAGTAAACGAAATTCTTTTGTGAGCGTCCTATAGGAATATGGAGTAGACTACCGAGTAACTTCACCTCGTTGACGGAGGATGTAACCATTCTTAAAAGCTAAACTGTATTGTTGATGTTAATTCTCGAAATTCCGGGGAAGCTCCGTAAGGGATCCATTAGAGACCAGCTATATCCAATAGGCCATCACAACAATGCGTTCATATATCAGTCCTTACGCAGGAGGCGGCGATCGGCTTGAAGCTAACCAAACTGTCGGAGAGGTATCTAGGAGCTGGTGCATTTGCCTAGAACTTCGATGGAAGAATTCAAGAATTCCAGTAGACTAGACTAGACTAGATAGGGGGGTTAATATGGAGCTTTAAGGAATCACCCCAAATCACGCCATAAGGAAGATGATTTCCTCCCCCCGAGCTGTGATCCTTTCTACTCTCTCCTGTAGTGGACACCAACCAAATCCATTGAATCTCTGGTATACACTGGTAACATCGTAGAAACGGGGAAATTATTCAAATATCATTACTTACCATATGTTTATTATATTAAGGGGCTTCAAATGCTTCACCATGACTTGGGCTCAACAAGTCTGCTACAGGCCTAGGTTACGGACTACGGAGTACACTGAGTACTCTTCGGCATTTCTAAAGAGAAACCCCGATCAGTAGCTGGTGTCATACCATGTTGTTACCTTACTGTTCTTATTGTTCGTCAACTCCTTTCGTGGTATTTTTCTACTATTTCATCTCTTGAAGATACATACTTGAATATTCCTTCATCGATCACCTGCAATGGGGCTTAGTATCATTGTGATACCCTACTGTCATCTCTATGGCCCATCTACATGATCTGAAGCCTCCGTTGAGTTTATACTTTTACGTGTTACAATCAGCTTCTAGAAATCCGGAAAAGAATCAATAGTTGTGGATACTGTATTGACCTCTCGGGCCATATCCCCTTTTGGAATCCTTCGTCTTCTTTGCCCGATGGGGTATGCGACAAACTGGTAATGTAAAAGTAGATATAGTATATTCTGCTTCTGAATATCTTCAATCGATGGAAGATCCAATAATTAGGTTATTAATATAAACGTCCCTACAGCCAGTTATGCCTTTGGTATACGATTAGATCGACTCATTCCTTTGTTCAGCGATCGTATTCCTAGAGTACTAGTAGGGTTAATAGCGCATGGGGTCAAGTGCCTAGAATGGGTGCTAATCAACTGAGACCGTCAATGGGGTCGCTTAGGCCAAGCTCAACACAATCTCCCGATTCCTCCCACTGCCAGAGCCTTGTCAGGAAAGATTTTATCAAGGTCGCCGAGCTGCCGTGTCCAGTGTAGAATGCTTCGGACGTTCTGTCGCTACCATGGCTAATCTTGGCTCCAGCTGTGAGCAGAAGAACATGCTTGCACTCAAATAGCAAGTGTGCCGCCTGTTTGGTCATCATATGCCTGAGATGGTCAGGAAATTCAGGACATCTCTTACGCCGAACTGAGACGATTTGGTTGTGTTCCCTAGCTTCCCTGGCGTATCTTTGCATTTCAAGCCCCAGGCTATGGGGGACATCGATTGTTGGTTTTTTTTTTAGAGGCCGTGGTGTAGTGACGGGTATATATAAATATCGACGACGAAATTGCCAACTGTTATTATCATATCTTCGCGCAGAGGACTTATAAGAAAGCGCATGATCCTCTCCATTATGGGATAATAACTATATACGTTGCTGTCTTGGCGATGAGTGTTCTGCGCTCCTAAAAAGGTCGATAAAAAAATAATAAAGAAAAGTCTCATTACAGAGGTTAGGCTGTGGTTATAAACAGGATGCAGTTAAGTGAACAATGGGGGAAAAAGAAGAAAAAGAAAAAAGAGGGATGAGGCTGACCCGACTTGAACGGATAACCTTAAGATCTGGAGTCTCACGCGCTACCAATTACGCCACAGCCCCATTGGATGAATTTATGGCTTTATGTTTTTTTCCAGAAGCCACAGAACTGCAGCAGATTCTATGATCTAGTTCTGTGTAACAGACAGCATACTTACTCTGTACCTAATAATGCTAATTACCTTTTCATAAGGTAGGTAACTTGGTCCCTACTATGGGCTGGGTAGGTGTTATTATAAATACTTACGTGATATGCATGCAGTACACTATCAATAAACTTACTATTAGTCCCTTGCTAACAGTGAAATCCAACAATTCATCTAACCATATATAAGCAATATGATTTTGCACTGTTTACCGCCAGTATTAGCAGGTCTAATTTTGTCTTACTGCTACTGCAGCCAAAACTAACACTGACTTATCAGCTTATAAGTTGTAAACAGTTATATGAATGGTCATACAGCTACGTACCTAGTATATAGGCGTTCGGACATTACATCGTCAGAAGATCAGGTCAATTAATAGAGCTCAGGTAAATCAACAAGTGTCTCTATGAACAGCCTACAGTGAGCATAGGGGGTCGCAGCAATCCAATCTCTCCTGTAGGGGGGGATAACGTAGAGCGGTTGGGTCACTTATATGTTGATTGATATGAGAAGCGCATATACTGGAGAATTGTATGTTTGTACAAATGGACAACATCATATTTATTATCATCAGAATAGAGATTATTGGAGTTTGCATCTTAAATTTCATTTAGGCAGCTATTTGTCAATTAAGGGGCTGTGGCGTAATTGGTAGCGCGTGAGACTCCAGATCTTAAGGTTATCCGTTCAAGTCGGGTCAGCCTCATCCCTCTTTTTTCTTTTTGTCCCCTTTTTCCCTCCTCCTCCCCTCTGATACTTCCTGTTCCTGGAATAAGTATCCCTTAATTATTATTTATTTTATTTTATTTCATAATTTTTTTTTTTTTTTTTTTTTTTTTAACCGTGACTGTAGTCACTGCCGCATCATGGTTTCAACAATGAGATTGAAATCGGTGATTGATCATCCCATGAGATCATCATATAAGAGCGATCCCTGTTATACTTTCCCAGACAAACAAAAAGCACTCGACACGAACTTAGCGGTCGACCTGCCTCCGTAACTGACACATCACGAGCAAGTATGGGCATGGGATACCACAGGAAAGCGCATTGCGGCTTTCTGCTGGGATACTGTTCGCCTACAGATCAAAACCAACCGATCATCATCCTGATGAAGTCGAGACTATGGTCGCACCATGGGATTAATGTCTACAGAGGAAGAAGCACTGCCGCCCGCTCTGTTTCTCCTCAACTTCTGTGGCAGCGGCTTTGCGATCACCTTGTTTGGCTCTGATGATGAATTCTCCGATATATCGCGCATCACACAGGCTACACTGTGATTGACGTATAATACTGCCTGGCGCTGCGTACAACGATGTCAGAGACGAACTGAGCTGGGTATGATCTCACCTGGAAAAATTTGACACATCGCGCAGTCCACTATCCTGGTTCAGCGCAGGCGCTACTCTAGCACTGGCGATACCTCGTCCTCGCCCAGATGCAGAGCCAAAGAGAGCGATGGATTGCTCATATGCTCTGTGATGTGCTTCTATGGCATGACAGACTTACATGCCCATGAGAGTCAAGAATCCAATGCAAAGATCCAGCCTTGTGAACCGGACAATCTTCCCCTGGTTCTTAGAGTTCTGTCATTCGTGTTATTTCTACTCGGGGCGTTACTTATTTTAGAGACCCATGGCTGTTGCTGTTATGTGCAGGTCTCATGTAACTCTAATAATATACAGACCATTACTACGGTGCAGGGTCTGTCCACCCTTGAAGAGGAGGAGCTTGCAAGTAAGGTTCAGGAGTTGGGAGATCATAATGTCGTATATCATCAGATGGATGGATGGGAGCATAGGTGGGATAAGGCGGCCAAAGAGGAGGCATATAGGTATGCTACTGAGATGCTTAAGGTACAGAGAAGTATTATCTAGGTGAAAGCAGTATTCAACCTCAGTGAACTTGAAGATTGCAGTTATGCTTGAGTAATTGTCAGAAAAAAAACATCCGGATTGAGCGCAATCAGGTGATTTGAATCAAGGACAGCAAAAAGCCAGATATTTACATCACAACATACATATAAAACAATCTGAGGCATATAGTGCTTGGTTGACTTCCCCTTTCTCTCTCATGGCTTACCTGGCTAAGACTATTAATGGTCTTAGTAGGATCCTGGGGTACCTCGGAGAAACCACTTTTCTGCTAGTAGCTAGCTTTAACTTTCCTTACAGGGTACAGTATCATCCAATCGGTGGTCCAGAACATCAGACATGGCACAACGATAATGCTCACAGTAGTTGATAAGTCTGGTGAGCTGCTATCGAAGAGCAATTCTCACCGCTGGATAGTGGCCACGCTGCCATTAGTACACCGCTGTTCAGGCACGCCTTGCCTTCTTATCTGTCTGATACTCGGGGCGGGACGAACCCCGTGGCCCAGGGTGCAGGATTGGAGGTTTTCCAGATGGTCTGGTGATCCTGGCATTATGCATTGATGCGTTGATATCTGTAGCTACGTGGTGGCCAACGAGGGTACTCAACACAAAAGTACTGTAGATACATCAGCAGCCACCAATGCACTATTTACCCCCAAGCGCAGAACGAACATGCATATCGGTCGACAAGTTTCTGTGTAGACTATGGTCATGCTTCGATTTAGCTTACTTATTTCAACGGCTCTCAGGAGACAGCCCTACAGCTGAACTTGAGCAAACCAAATGTCCGGAATGCAAGGATGTCAGCCCAACAGAACGCATAGCTATGAGTACAGCTCCCAGATATGAGGCTTGCACCATGTTTATATTCAGACCAATGCCAGAAGCATCTCCCACGTTTTCAGTCCAGCCCGCTCATGACATAGTCACCGGATCAAACAACGCCATGCAGTTCAGTTGTGTGCGATTTACGACAGACTGGTTGCGTCCAGCCAAGTGCATACTGGAACGTTATTTGGTAACTGCGCGAGGCAAGTGATCCCTGTCCTGCGGTTTGTCCCGACTCTTGAGGTCTGAACGCCTGTCCCGTAAGCCTATTCGGCAACACGTCATTGTATAGCCGAATGACAGTCCCGAAGCCCAGAAGCGTCGTATGCCAGGAGTAGGACAAGGACCTTCTTCTTACCTCATCACGGGCAATCCACCGGGAAGTGGAGACCGGGATGGGATCATGGGCGAGTCTGGTTGGATCTCGTCTTCCGATCACAGCAGACGAACCCCGCAATGTCTTTGAAATTTTCCTCCTCGTTGGGATGGAATTGATCGTATGGGGTAATTATGGGGGACGATTGAGCCATTAATTGAATAATGAAAATAATGGAAACACCGTGCTGGCGATGATGTGATTGAAATAGTCCTGTCTAGAACGAGGATCAGGTTTTAATTTTGACTACTTACTCCAAAATGTAAATCATCGACGACCTACCAAGTAGTCCACTCCATACTACTTTCACCCCGCAAATTGACTAGGGAGTCTAAGTCAGGTACGGCGGCGGACGGACTAACCCCGCAGTCTTGATGAAAATTCTGTTCAGACGATCTGTTAGGCGGTAGACCATGGGGAAGTCTCCAATGTTTCCAGATACTGTGAAGCCTGATTGATCAGTTCTACCGAGTCAGTGTTTCTGCTGTTTTCTATGGCTTACTTTAGTGACGTCGATCTTGTTAGGGTGGTCAGAGCGCGGTTGCACTGGGGTATACGGAAAACAGCCGAGTCGAGATATCAACTTTCTACATAGGATGCCCAGAGAGTTCCTCAGTAAAGATGCAGTGGACATGCGCCCCAGCAGGTAGTAGGTAAAGGACAAAATAGGAGGTCGTTACCTACCTAAATGACATCTGGGGCCGTACTCAAACTCGACATAGCGCATATAGATCGTCAACATTCTCCTCCGTACATTGCACTATCAACCTTGGTACGTGATATGAAGCACAACATGTTGCGCAATTTGCGGCATTTTCTCCTGAGGCATACTATTACGCAGGAGAAAAGGAAGGAACCATCTCGCATGTAACAATTGCAGACGATGATTTGTGAACTCTGGCCACCATGACACATTGAAATCCCATTTGGGAAGAACCAGCCCTACTAAGTGGAGGACGTGACTGGTTCCAGTCAGCTGATGGACTAATTTTTTTCCAGTCTCCTTTGTTGAGCCGTTGCTTGGAAGTCAGGGAGAGCCTGGACCTCAGTGTTATGCACTGAATCTGGGGAAGGGCTATGCCATTGCCGCTGTTACAATGCTACTATTGAAACATAGGCCTATGAATAGTTCTGAAAGGTGTCACTTGATCTTTAAGATATTGAAAATAGCGAGTGTTTCAGTGGTGAATGTGGTAAGGGTAATTACCTGGTAAGGAAGAGTTAGGTAAGCTACTCGGTACTGTAAGATACCTAGCCACACATGACGCCAGGTGTCTCCAACGTGCTGAGGCAATTTTTCCAAATTTAGCCCCTTTTATGGCCAATCATCTTGTGGCAATGCGGTATTTTCCCCCTTCTGGCCTTCTCTTACCTCATTTGCGCCATTTTCAGTCTTTCCTGTTTTAGGAAATTTGACTGAACGGATCTGTACTGACAGAGAACCATCATTTACTATGGCATGGTCGTGGTTATGGAATGAGATGAAGATTGTAGAGTTGAAGAAGAGGAAATGAAGAGAACTGAGCACTGATAAATGTAAGAAAGAGAAGTACTCCATATAGACAATTCTTCATAGTAAGGTAGATCCTCGTCATAATAGCGCTGGCGGAAGTGGGACCCACTAGCAAAATTGAAGTTCAAGACTTTTTGCCTCTTTTTTCTCACTGCCCCGGACCGGCCCCGTGCCTGGCCGATCGCATAGAGCCGGAAAGTTGTATCAAAGGTGTATTCAGATTTCAGGCCGGTCAAGGGACAGGTTGATACTATTCCAAGTGCTGTCTGTATATAAGGAAGCTCTCCCTCCGTTGTTCGGATGCCTGGTAGTAATTGATTCTCA